GCTGCGTCGTCGGCTGGCACTGACAGAACGATAGTTTCTCTAACGTTCTCTTCAATTTAATCAAAATGTCAGGATCCTCGGATTTTTCCGATTGTTCCGCCATCTCGAAAGAAACCGACGAGTACCTCTAACATTAAGTTCACGCTTTCATATAGCGACATGTTTTGTTATTTAATTATTTGATTATACGCATATAAAGATACTTAAAATGTGAGTTGTCAAGACAGTTTAAAATTGTATCTAACTATCAAAGTGTTGCTGTGATCTGAAATACTACATCGACAATGAAACCTGTCTGAAATCTTTTCTATTAATAAATAGACGCGTTTTATTTATTCAACTTCATAAAGTTTTCTTATCTTCTACTAAAACAATCGATAATTCTGTAACCATTGTTAAGAACAGAATGTATTAATTATGTAATATTTTGACATACTCCAATATGGAGAACCATAAGTCTGTATTTACAAATTGTTCTTCATTTGCAATGTTTGACAGATAAAACATTATTTTGTTGCTTGAATTTTTTATTAAACATTTATCTGCTTTAGCGCGTCCAGTAAATTTTGGAAATCTTGAAAGGACTGATTCTTCTGCAATTCCCTGCGAGCGTTTAAGAGAATTGAACATAGACGTTCAACGTGTACCGTTCAAAATTTTTGCTTGATCGTGTAATTAATACATCACGGTTTTGACTACCTAGCTATAAAGACTGTGCGCGCACGTTGAATGATGTAACATTTTCTTGTACCATGAATCACCGTCATGATCTCCCGAGGTATTGCAATGATATATCACCGTCCTCTACACGTGGAATACGGTTACTGTAGCCGGTGATGTATGTATTTCTCTGGTCTTGACATCACTGCAGCTTTTTCATCGTCGTTAAATTCTTTATCAAAGGACTCCAGACGTCGCCACGTACGATGTTAGGGTGAGTCCGAGGTTCGTGAGATTTTCATAAAAATTTCAGGCATACATACTACCGAAACAACAATTCAAACAACAAAAGTTTTTATTCGAATCGCGTAAATAATAACACTATCTACACGATCCGAATTTAACGACACCGAATAAAATTTACCTTTGTTGTCTGAAATGTCGTTGTTATTACTTTTTCTGTCGTGCTACGTAAAATAAATATGTATTTCTGTGAGTTACAAAATTATAACACATTTTATCGCGTAACAAGGTAGGGACCATCTTCAAGTTTCGATTCCGACCTGTAAAGGATATTTTCGATTCAAGTCTGCGATAAGATAAAACTTGCCCCCAACAGTAGTCTGAACAATCAGCCTCGCGACCTTGTGGACCGTAGTTCTTCCGGTCGCCGAAAGAGGAAGTACCGTTGTGATAATCAATTTCCACGAAGCGGCTATCGCGAATCGTCAGGCAGGCCGCGGAATTATCATTTAATGGCCTCGCAATAACACGGTCGAACGAAAAGGGAAGAAAAGGAGCTGGCCATGAATTATTCAGGCAATCGCAGGAACGCGAAGCAATAGCAGCGTATCGCGCGATCGATACCACATCGTTCGAACACTTGGCAACGATAAGTCCATTTATGCTGGCCATAAACCGACCGGGGAATTTTCAAGAAGATCGCTGGGGAGGTGACCTTACGAAGCCACGAATTCTTGGCGCGCCACCGAGGTGCCCGGGGTACTTTTTTGTTCACGGGACCATTTACGGGAGAATATGACCGGCCGTCCGGTTCGACCACCCGAGGGCCAACAAACACCTTGACCAGCCCGCGCTGTGTATGCATGTACCTGTTTCCCGTGGGCACTTTCGCCCACCCTTCCCATCTCACGCTTTTGACCTCTTCACCTACATGTCCATGGCCGCCGCGGAAAAAATCATTGCTAATGGATTCAATCGGAGCGCCGATCGTCGCAGAATGGTTTAAATCGTAGTATTGAGGAGAAGGTCCAAAATGAAAGGTCATCGAAGAATTCGCTCGCGGTTAGAGGGTTAATAAATTCTTTTGATTTTGAATTAAATATTATTCTTTTGTTATCGATCACTGTAATTTACAGTAAACATGAACATAAATATGCGCAGAATTGTTCTCTTTTCGTAATGAGTTATTAATGACAAAGCTGATGTGTCGATCATATTAAGAAATAAATCATAGGGCAAAAGGTTAGAAAAATCTTGCAATGTACATATATGTTATAAAACAGATTTGATTTAGACTACTTACCGAAGATCTAACACACGTTAGATTAGACGGCAGATAATGTTTGTTTTGTCAATACATTCAGTTTCGATTTTCTGCAAAACTTTCTACGTTTGTTGGAATCTGCACTGAAGTATCAGTCAACAGGTGCCACACTCGCACATAATATTGTTCCGCAAATAATGGTAAATTGAACAAAAGGAGACAGAAAAAAGTGTTCAAGACTTCAATTTTGAGGAAACTGTGCTTGAAAATTCACCACGTGGTTCTTCATTTCTCTTATGTGCCAGCTGCTAGTTCATCGTTGACAGATGTTGCTATCGGCGAAGAAGTCGACGCGAAATGCCAGCACGTCCACGAAATTGTATGCCCGTGGTTGCCCTTTGATCGGTAAACTTACATCGTTCTCGCCGCAACGCGTTCTTTGCAAATCCCCTGTCGGCTAAGCGCAATTGTGTCGTACTGATTTTCATTACTGATTTAATTGCTGTATTCAACTATCGGCTTCGACAAATAGTTTTGTCAGCAAAATTGTTATGAACTTATGATATTTTTTCAACAACTTCATCCTTCTACGGGTGCCTTTCGTTCATATGCGTTCGGGAGATAAGGAACTGAAGGAACATATCCGTACAATAAACTCGCATGTGAAGTATTCTATTCCTGCAAAAGCTAAGACTGCTCTCGTACATGTATGACTGGCACAGTTCAACATAGCGATGCTTACAATATCTTCAAAATTATTCACGTACCCGCTTAATTTCCGAGAAAATTGAATTTGAAAAATCCACGTCGCCTATGTAACAATTACTGCGAAGGTACGATTCTCCGTGCGATTTCGAACTTCTACCCTCTTCATCAATAATACGTAACATTTAGAGTTAATATACAAGAAAAAACTAAAAAGTATTTAGTCAACAATATTTTATTATTAGTTATAAGACTTCATTCCAAAGGACTTCGTATCACGAAGAATCAGAAGTTAACAAGAAGCGTTTGGCATTTCCATTGAGGTTCACCACAAACGTGCGTGGCCTCCTTGCAAGTGCAGTAATTAATTACCGTTCGCATGAAATTGAGTTAAACAATGCACAACAGTGAAAACGTGCGAGTAGCAGGAATTACTGTGCACCGCGTACAAATATACATACGTTGAGGTTAAACAATTTGAATAATGTGCAACCCTAGTCAAAGTGAGCCCGTGGGCAGCAAGAGTTGAATGGCCGGCGCTGTTATGTTTATCTCGTGCCGTACACGTTAACAGAAACGGAAAAGAAAATAAAAGGAGGCCTCGACGGAACGTACGTGTAAAAGACTGTGCTCTATTTGCGTCCGTGGAATGTCATTTCGCGTTCGTTGTTCCTTCTTTCTACTTGTTTTGCGGCGAGTCGTGACACGAAGTCCTCCCGGAGGCATTTAAGAGTCTCAAGCCTTGCGATGTAGGTTCCATTAAGAGGAATGACTGAATCTCTCACGGTTCTTTTTTTTTTCTTTTAAAGGAAACTGAAAGACACTCGAAAATTTCTTCGAAGAAAAATATAATATTAGATCGGAGCACGTGGCACGTTGACTTCAGTGATTCGTACATTTAGTTGCGTTTCCATGTATAAGTGAAGCTTATTAATGACGATCGTTAAACTGCGAGTCTTTATATCAGTCCCTGGCCTTGATACATGAACAAGATGAAGTAAGGTGTCTAACTATAGATTAATCGTATCGGTATCTATTGAAAACCCACGTTTATTTTCACACACAAGAAGGATAAGGAAACAATTGATTTGTGGTCCGCAAGTAAAGATAAAATCCATAGAACGATCAATTTCTCGCATTCATGGTTAGCTTTGAGATGATTTATATAGAAAGGAAAGAAAGGAAGAAATGTGAAATTAATTCATGTGAAATATTCATCACTGTGAAATCAATTTTGTTAGAAATTGATGAAATTTTGATCATTCGTTTTTCAATACACAGACTAAATATTATTATAGACATAAATAGCAATAGTTCAATCAAAATCGTTTGATACAGCTTTGAAACTATAGAAAAATACTTCACTTAAACTGAAGTTACATGATATTTTTATATAGATGATAATTTTGATAAAATTGTGTAACACCAACAGTGTTAAGGGGTATTCTTTTAACTAGAAGTAGGTACACGTAAAATGTATTGAAATATTCATATCTTGTCATAAGTTGTCGCTCGAATGCTTCATTGCGGAACTTACATTTTTCTATTTTTTTAGGAGTTTCTCATTTTTCATGCTAAGAATTTGGAACGGAAAAATCTCAAAAAATTCTCAGCCATCCAATGCTATGCCAAAAATGTCTCCGAATTTTTTCACAGTTTATATTTACCATTGAATAGGGAAAATGGGACAAAAACTGGTAATTCGAATTTAGCCTATAACTACCCTTCTGGTTGAGATAGAGAAAATCGGTCTAAAGGCACTTTTGACTCCCTTATCCTGCTATACCCTTTCAGTCATCGTATAGTTTTTATCTCGTGAATTATTAATTACTTTACTTTCACTTTCGTTCAACGTCTTTCCACGTGGCATTTTATGAAACAACAGATTTTACACACTCAATATTACCTTTAACGTTGCACGTTTAATATTAACAATTTGAAAGAAAATTCTATTCGCACACTGTTCCCGTTTGAATGCTCAACGAAAACTGTTTTATAGTTCTGTCGCGTTTAGTAAGAGGTATTTTTGTATAGCTTTGTAATTCTTACAAATGTCCGTAAACACTGCGTTGAAGAACGTCTCCTGATATAAGCAGTAACACGCGGTACGTAAGAAGGAGAAATCAAATATAGAAGTTGTATGAAACGTTGCTTTCTGTTAGTCGATCGCGAACTGTGTAATAGTAACAGTGCCAACGAAAAGTGTAAAATGTGATCTTCTAAATATTTTCTGTATTTATAAATCAACGTGGCTAAATATTCTTTCACAGTCAGTGTATTATATATCTTTATGCAAATTATAATTGTTACAAATCATAGTTATTACAGATTATAGTTATTTTCTTCATATTCCCTACGATGTAACTACTGTCAAAACGCGACAGAAATGTCTGCTAATGTGCATAGCGGTCAAGATTACGATTCACTACACCGAATTCTGAACAACTGGCTGCATACGTGTATCAAGGTAGATGTCTTGGCACCGTTCACTTATTATTTGTTTAGCCGCGGTTCAGTAACCGCGTCGACTACTAAGCTCTTTGCCGGAAAGTATCTCTCTCTGTACAACGGTGTCCAATGCGGAGTAACGATTGTGAAACATCGGAATCATTCAGCTGCGGTCCCGCGTTTATAACGCGTAGTTGCTGAGCAACTTGAAATTTTCAAGAAATATCCTTTCCCAATATCGCCCACGTGGAACTAGAATTCTTTTCAAACGTATCAACGATACGATTGAAAAGAATTTGAATCTTGTTAATTTCACTTATAGGCTTTCTTCTAATATTACCACTCTCAAGCAATACTCTCAAGCTTACAGCTATTACGTAACAGACGAAAAACTATCGAGCAATCGTCTTAGCACTAGCGAATGTAACAGATCGACGCGTTACAGGTGCACCAGAGTTTTTCGAGGTTGTCCCATCGACCGTTGTTCTTATCGCTATTTTCGCGGTATCGGAAAATGGTAATTGCGACACGATGGAAGGATGATCTAGTTTTGACCAGCAAAACAAACGAGTCTGCCGTTTGACAACACAAACGTAACAGTTGTGACTATCTTCCCGTGACATGGACCATTTGTCAATCGATCAATGGGCACACCGTTGGCAAGGCAAAATGCACTGGGGATAATGGACAGTGTATGCGACTACGCACCGAACGTTTCACGAAGTGACATGGCAGGATTATTATCCAAGGTACTTGGAACTATTTACGTATTCATTATTCATGTTCCTTCGTACGAACGTCGTCCGATTAATCAAATAAAACTGTACAGACCGAGCATAAGAGTATTACAGAGAATTTGTGGATCTATTCGCGGTAAAAGTAGATTGAGAGAACAATTACGATTCTTGGTGCGAAGCATTTGATCCGACATATTGATCCTTTGCACTCGAAAAAGGAGTTTCACTCTCTATTTTATTCAATGCAGCAACATTATACTATTAGATATTCAACATCGATAAAATAATTTTATTATTCTATGGTTTCTTAAAGTTTTTATTTTTATTTCCACTAGGTTCTTGCCTGTAGTATATAAACTAGTTATATCAAGTCTACTTCAGATTTCTGACTTTTATATTATGATCAATGTATTAGAATGTCTCATAAGTTCGTTTCGCGCTCTGTCTGCAATGTTTGGTCTAGCCGAAGTTTGGGAAACATGGTATTATGAGGCTTATAGAGAAATGAACGATTAGATAGGAATCTATTGTGCATAATTCAATAACATTATATAAAACATAAAGTACTGGATGCATTATGTATAATACTTGAGTCGTTCAAAAGCCAATGCGGTTAAGTCGATTTCTGTATATTTTCTGATTTTTGTCAATTTTAATGGAATAAATAATATTCTTCTTTGTTATTAAATGATTTACTCGGTTCTTCGTTTTTTCTAGGTCAAAAACCCCTTCTTTTTATAGCTTCTGAATACGTTGTATAATAATTTCAGAAGCCATTGCATTAATTTTCGCAATTTTCCTTTTCTGGACTAAACCACGTTGGCTTCTGAACGACCCAATTATTTCTACATTTCAATCACTCGTCTATAGCGGACCAACAAGAAATTCGATGACAACGGAGTATTTTTTATTCCGTCGTATGATGTGAACGGGTTAAGAATAGGTCTGAAACGGTATTCGACCGAATGGTTTTTTACAATGACGATGCACAAGGATTTCGTCGAACGTTCGCGTCAAAAACCGTGACACGAGGGTACGATCGAGTTTGTCGACTCCGAAACAGCAGTCGACAGATCAATCCGTCCGACCTCGAATTCCTCTTCTGCATTCCCGGGTCGACCGCATCGCGGGCATCGCCATCGAATTTCATTCGTCGCCTTCTGAATCGCGTTTTAAGTGTCATTACTTTCGCATCAATAAAAATTTAAAGCGTCGACCGGTCGTCCCAGACGCAACATCCGTTCAACGGAGGACGTTTCTGTGGCTCGGGGACACTCACGCCAGGATTTTCACCCCGTCGCATCGTGCGTCGGTCACGAGGCCCAGGCTGACGTGTTAACCCTTTGTGACCAAGTGTTTGTGATTTCAATCTGCAAACACGCTTTGCTTGTATGAGGGAGTTCACGTTATTATCTTGAGGCAGACAATGAATTCTAACTGTAATTTTAATCAGTATGCACGATTATTTCAATGAATATTGTGGTTCTGGCGATATTAAATTTGCACGCGCTTCTCTTATTGTGTCATATGTACGAAATACTAACATTAGCTAAAATGGAAATTTAATAAAAAAGCTACAAAATTATATATATTCATTATGTCTTGTTACAATATTTCAGACTTTAACATGATGACCAACACGGTGGTCATCGATAGCTGGACTATACTAAATTGTTTGAAAACAGTGGCAACAAGTAGATTGCCGTCGAATTTAGTAACGTAAGTAACTAGAAAATAGCGTGACTTTGACACTGCGATACCAAGCCAATAATAATCGAGTCGCTCAGAAGCCAATGCGGTTAAATTCAGAAAACAGAAATTAAAAATATTAATGTTTTTTAAAATATAATTATGATATCCTTTAATACCTAATAACTCCCAGTAAATTCTTTAATACCTGGAAAGAATATTACTTATTCCATTAAAATTTACAAAAATCCGGAAATATCAAAAACTCGACTTAACCGTATTGGCTTCTGAGCGCCTCCGTTGTTTCTAGTACCATTTGTCATGGTTACGAGAGAATGTGTGTTAATATACGAAAACGCTAAAAATTCTCATGTACATAATGAAAGCGTTAAACGTTTTCAATGAGATTTCCATGATTCACGAGTCACATGTCACGAAGGGTGAATAAAATAACGCGCAAATGTGACTCGAAGTTTTCTTCTCGCTGATACCAACTCTGGGAGCCGCCCCGACGACAGGGCAAACTCGATCGGTGGAATCGGCTGCGTGAAAGGCGGGCCAAGAACAAAAGGGGAGAATAGGAGGAACGGGGTAACACTAGGCGCACGGTAAATTATCGCGTTCGGGCTAAATAGTAACGAGGGATCTGGCGCTCGCATTTCTTTCACGTGCGTGCAAGGAGACCTTTGTTTCACGCGGACAAAGGTGGTCGCGTTTACGTGCAAGCGATGCATCGCGCAGTGTGAACGCCTGCGGCCCTTCGCCTTGACGAGCAGTCATTGAAACGGTGCAAAATGATCCGGATGCTGTTGGAAGATAACGTTCGCGAAAAAAGAGAAAAACCGGGAGAACGGGCCGCTGGAACAACTCTGCAGAAAAAACTCTCCGGTTCGATCGGATGTTACCGTATCGTTGATCGTAAGCAGACCGCGAATGGATCTTTGTGCAGATTCGAACATTTAGGAATGTAATTAGAAAAAACGGTGTTATTGTTAACCCTCTACAGGACTGTGTGACTATGAAGTCACTAATTAACACTAACACTACCGTAACAGTCATTCTGATAACAAACTTCGGTTTGTTTGTTTCGCTATTATTGATATCTTCGAAGCATTGGATATTTGAATGCTTTTTGAAAATAAATAGTTCCACTTAAATACTAGAATGAATGGCTGAAGATACTAGAAATGATCTATTGTTATAATTATTATAGGGATTACGTGCCAATCGTATGAAATGCTCGGTAGTTCTAGTGTTAATTAACTTAAAGTTTTATACGCTCAGCCGTGACAGTTCCATATTATTGTAATTTCAAAATTACAAGGTATATTTGTTTTAATATAATATTCATATGTATTCCTCACTTTAAATACACAAATTTATGCGGTAAATTGTACTGTGAATTTATGCAAAAGAATTTCCACGAATGATTTAAATGCTGGTTATCAAAGTTTTGTCGCAGTGAAATTCTACGTGGAATGTTTTATTATGCAGAATGAAAGGCCGCTCGTGACAATTCGATTATCGATTCAGACAGTAGAGGGCAGTGAGACTTCTTATATGTGGCAAGCCAAACGGGAAACCACTTTCGTACTAACCAAAAGAAGCTGAACGAGTACGGTAAATCACTGTCCGCGGCACGCATTCCAAACGCCCAACTTTTTAGTCCTGTACAGGTCCACAAGGTCTTTAAAAATCTTCTTTAAGGAATTTTTTCTTTCATTCGCGGAAAGTTCGATCTGCTGCAAGTAATTTATAATGTACTGTGTTTAAACATCTTTAAAATTAAATAATATATAGTATATAATTATATTATAATAGTATAACAAAATGATGGATACACGATAGTCGAGATCACGTCTGTATAAACGTACATTTACTAATTGCTGCGACCTGGAATATTCTTTTCCATGAGGTAGGTCGTGTTTCAAGTATGAATATAATTTCCGTTAAAGCTAGCGATTAAACTTAATCGTAGTTAAATAAATTTTGTGTATACACGTTAAATAAATGTTATTTATCGGACTGGACAGTAAAAAGTAATTTCTAGAATATCTTATGAGAATTTATTTGACTAATTGTAGTTAATAGTACAGTCATACATAATTAATTTTCTTATATAATTCGAGAATACATGATTTTATTATTTTCCATGATTAGTTATCTTAATAGCTGGTTACATAAATCACAAAATCCTATTTCTTCTGTATTCACCTTGCCTTCAATACTACAAACGAAACTAGTTACAAAAATATTCCTAAGCTTCATATTTCCCCCTTAAATATCTGTTCAAAAATATACGCTTCTCCAGAACTCGTCGGCTGAACATAAAAGAACTATTAAAACTGACCTTGCTTAACGAAGTTAAACTGTTAACGTACAAAGTTAACTGAAACCAGGGAAAGATCGTTCAAAAGTGAACAAATTCGAGCAACTTTTATCGATGAAAACTAATAGTTTCGCTTGACCCCTATCTTGCGAAGGGGCAAATCTATACGCGTCAGAGTTAATTAACACGTTGAATGCCGTCCAAATTGAATTACTGTAGTTCACTCAATGAAACGACGAGTATTTGGAAACATTTCTATATTACAAATAATGCTACCTAATTTCGTGATATTCATGTAGAAGAATGTGCAATAGTAATAATGTAATTTAATCAAATGATTTAATATCATATTTTTTCCATTTTGTGTATTGTCCTTTGTAAAACCGTACTGCATTCAACGTGTTGACATTACAACGTTCAGATATCGTACGCTTTGATTTACCGACAATAGAAATTTTCGTCCTGGCCGCGGACATTTTCGTGACCAGCGAGTATCGTCGTTATGCACGAGCAAATCGCGCAATTTAATTGGAGTCCCTCGGTTTCGCTGGAAGCGGCGCGAAAGTAATATTATTAGCCGGAAACCTTTAAGGCAACCCAAACGTTGAAGAGGAGGAACGAGAGCGTCGCCGTCGCGCACCAACAATCCCAATAATTGCACGTGACAGAGGAACGCGTTACGCGCGAGATAATTAATCGGTCGATTAATTAACCGGCAAAAGCCAGTCCACCGATGTCGGCGTTTCTTTTGACGGAAGAAACGCTTACAGGTACACGGATACGCCCGTTTCCATCGTGCATCATCACGAGGACCTGTCGTGTTGTTTGTTGCTGGTAAATACGCGTCGCTTGATTAATATCAAGGTGACTATCCTTTTTCGGAATTTTACACGCCGACCGGTACAAATATATTGTATAAGTGTAAAGCATTTATGAGTTACGCGGGGAGATCAGTTTTATAAACAGTTCTGCAAGGATATTGGACGTGCAAGATACTCATTGAATTTTTATCGATCAGTGATCTGTATTTATCATTACATTTCATTTACGTGATATTTCGATCGTGGTATTTCAATCGATATCATCGGTGGAACACACTTTTATATATCTTTGTAAAGGGATATTTCACTGTTGCATGCCGAAGCATTGACTCACCGCCATCCTAAGTTAACATTATTTCTACCAAAGGTGTCAGAAGATACCTTTTGAAATTTTAACATAAAATTATTTTCTCAGTTTAATCATTTTTCCTTAATTGAATTTTTGACATTTCCTACAGTCAATTTTGTATTCGTTATTGAAAAAGTTAGCAAGTCAATTCAGAATATACGACTAACTTGGAAAATGATTTTAAGTTAAAAATTCAAAAAGTGTCTCTTGACACCTTCGGTAGAAATAGTGTTAAGTATTAGTCATAGAGTGAATTCCTACAGAAAATAGCCAAAATTCTACAGACATCCCTTCAACCTCTATCCACTCAGACCACCGAACCCAGTTACTCATCTATAACACAGCCTACCTCCGTACTTCATAATTTCCCTGCAAACGATACACTGTCTCCTTAAGATCTACCGAAGTTCTGTTAGTTTGTAACCGATAGATCGATGTTTTCGTTTCAATTTGTAAGTTCTCGAATTTAACAACTGATAATTGAAGAATAACATCTGGTTTGAACTGAAATAAATATAATAACGGTTACGTTTCTAATGCAATATCTATTAGAAATTTTTGTCACTAGTCTGACACGATGTTAGAGGACAAAGGGTTGATCGTATGAGATGTTTGTCTGACAGTTCGTAGACGTTTCCGTTCAAATTCAGTTTCTATTTCTCGCGTCGCGTCGCCTTTCGATACCAAACTCCTACGTTAATAGCTCGAGAGTGGATAGGAACATCCAAACGTTCCGTTTTATGGAAAGACAGGAGAAGTCGGTATCTCAAGTAGGTGGACACCTCAAGAAATTGATCTCATTCGATCGCGGATGTTGCAGCAAAGTTCATTGTGCTGTTCCGTGTGGGTTTCGTCTATTCCGACGCTACGGTCGTGCGCAGGCTATTTTATTGCACAATTTAGTGAACTGTGCTTTATTACCTGTTTCATATCCTTTGTCCACAGGTACTTTAGGAGTGGACAGCATATTTAAGCTGCATCGATACCGATGCATGTAGAGTGTTCAACGATTGTGTTACAATATTTATGTGGTGAACAGGACATAGTATACAGGGAATGAGTAAAAAACCTAGTGAACATATGTCGAAATGTCAACCGTTTTCGAGGCATAAACGTTTTTATATGTTAACACGTTTTCAACACACTTGTCATTTTCGCATAGACAATTCTACCGAGATATAGGCATCTAAAGGCGTCACAGCAATATTAATCAAGTAAAATTTAAAGATTTATTCAGACCAACAGGTGCTTCACCAATCCTCTAAATTTTACAGCCTAAAAGTTAACCCTTAAAACAACAAGGTCCACTTTATGAGCAAAGCATAATAGAAGCAATACTAGTATTAAACGTTTGAAATGTGTTCAAGAATTGAAAGAACAAAAAAGAACGTATGAGCACTCCTTTCGTAATCTACTTTTATATACGAATCTATTGGATGCTATCGATCTTTTCCGTAATTTTTCATTTGGTCCTTTAACCCATTCGGAATCAAGACTCCATATCACTTTCACCATTAAGGTTTACTTTTTGTAACCTAGGCGATCTTGATCGTAGATTACTCTTTTCTTAGCTTGAAACCGATAGAAATTTTCATTTCTTTAATGAAGCTTTAATTTTCACTCACAAATAAAATAACACAATTTTCCACTGCTAATCGATAACAGAAATTCATGATTACACGTACGGCATGTACTCCGCTATGCACCTGACGTATAATTGATCTCCAATGGGTTAACACGTCGAATGGCATGGGGGTCACCGGTAATCTCCAAACAATTCGAATTACTATAGTTCACTCGATTACACGACGACTATTTGGAAATATTTCTATATTATAAATAATGCTACCTCGGCTAGATGAACGTGTAATGATAATAATGCAATCCTATCACATGATTTAATATTACTGTTTCTTCCATTTTGTGCACAGTAGACACCCGCGAACGTGAGTTCCTATAATGCGAACTCCTGTAACGCGCTGGAGATTTTGCGACCACCGTTTAAATTGAGCATTACATCGTTTTCTTCGCTGCTACCGATTTCTCCCACCCCCAAACTCTTTTATTTTCCATAAAACAGAAAATAAGAGTCGGCATGGTAATAATCATTTAGTCTGTGTTACTTTTTATTACTCGTATTACACGAGGAAAATCACTTTCTATAACGCGGAGTCATACAACACGTAACGTATTAACTCTTTGAGTACTGTAAGCACATAAATGCGTCCAGCGAAAGTCTTCGTTGTGAACTATGGGCGCACATATGAGTTTTCCGATCTTTTAAATCTCACACGTAACGTGATGACAATTATGAGTGTACGATATTAACCAGTTAACTACGTTCGACGAGTATACACGTCATTTTAAAATTCACAATAATACTAATTCTGTCAACGATGAATTATTTATTTTTCTACATTAACGTGTAATTCTTCTTTGTGTTGCTTTAGTTTTTCGTTCGAATATATTATAGGTGCATTTACCCTGCGTTCTACTAGTGTGAATTCCATTAATTCGATTTTATTCTGAGCATAATGAGAGATTTTTCAAACTAAATTCCACAGTTAACAGGTTAGCAAACACGTTTTTTACCGAGATTCAATCTCGCGAAATCAAGGAATCACGATTACAACTTAATCATGCATTGTATGAATTTATGTAGTCTATCGGTCTTCAGTGGGCAAACTAAGCAAAAATGCATTCTGTCCACACGGAACGTTTCGGCTGGAAGTACTCAGTACTCACAGGGTTAACTGTGTTATACGGGAGTTCATTATATTTTGCTCTATGAAATCGTGCGGCATTCAACGCGTTAACGCCATGCCGACCGGTGAATTTATTTGCAAAAAACGTCTTTCAACACGTATATTTTATTCACATGTAATATACTAAAAAGATTTAAATGATCTAAACTAATGGATACAATCTGGAACACTCTTATAATCATTTATATCTCTTTCAAGTATAAACCAACATTTTCCTATCGTTTTATTTCTCTTCCCACATCTGCAGCGAACAAACAATGGTTCCTACAATATCAAAATGTTCTTATCTAAATAAAATTTGTATTCTCTTCGAACTTGGTTTCTAAAATGAATACACGTTGTTCGATCTCTACCCAGTGATAAATTAACAAAACAAACAGACATTCTACAAAAAATGAATTGATTATTGAGATATTTATTATTGTGAGGTCATTTCACAGTCCTGTCAAGTCTTCCGCCGTCGAGCGTCAGTATGCTTCGAACTATATCAGTCTCCCGACAGCAAAGTATCAATGCAAATACAGATACAAGAAATGTCGCGACAACTCCGGTGACCGGTCAGCAAGACGTTAAGTGTAAACAAAATCGTCCAGCCCCGAAGGTTCGCTTACCCGAGATTGTGCTTGCCATAAGTTGACGGTGTCGTGGCGATTTGTTGATACTTCTGCGTGACAGCCTCCCTCGGCTGGTGACGATGATTGCCATGATAAGCGACCGTTCTGGTACCGACGTAATTCACCGCCGCGACCGCGTTGAATTTCTCTTGTTTCGGCGGGCCGGATCGTTGCTCGTGCACACGCTGCTCCACGTGACGCCTCGGCGCGTCTGTCGTCGACGACGCCGTCGGAACAGGTCTCTCCGCGAAGGTGTCCTGGCGCGGCCAACTATTCGCGGCGTTCTGCTGGGAGTCCCTGCCGTCACGGTCGTGTCGCGTACGAGTGAATTTCTCGTGGTACCAAAGCGGCCAAAGGAGTCTGTGGCTCGTGTAGCCGCGATGATCGCTGGGGAAACGTTCGACCGGCGCGACTTCCGCGGGTAGAACGATCAACGCGGCGCACGTCAACAATAATTTCGGTGTCAGAGACATTGCTGCTCTGCTCACGGAGCCAGGGGTTGAAAACAGTTGACCGGTACCGGTTCTTGAAACAGTTATAAAGAATCGGAATAGAGTCACAACTGTTATTACATAAATCGGTTCTGAGTTATATTTCGATTGTTAATCCTCGGGACCAATATTACCGGTTCTAACTCTTATTTCTCAGTTCTAAAGGAAACGCGGTAGAGAACCGTAACGGAGGAACAAAGACTGGCAATTATAGAACCGACACAATACCGGTACCGAAGAAAAGCGAGACGTAGCTCAGAACTGATAAACCTGACAACAGTTATGACGATTTCGGTTCTCCATAATCGTTTCAATTGGAACCGACTTCGAACAGCTTCAAACGGTTATATTTTTGGAACCTTTTCAATCCCTGATCCGACGTTGTTGCTCTCTGTGCCCGAAGCCTGTGGGAAACAGCCGCGCGACGAACGATCACATTCTCGATTCTTTCGGACGGAGACGTGGGAACGTTTGAACGAACGTGCTGCGGCGGGTACGTCGACGAGGCTCGATGGACATCCGGTGCGAAATCGTTCGAAGGCAACCGAGAGCACTACTGAACGAGACACACGGAGTAGGCCCCACGTGCTTGAACCGTACCAACCCCACCATGCCTCTCTCTTTCTCTCTTTCTCCCAGGTTTTCTCGTTCGACTCACTCGTCCTCCGCCGTTCTCATCTTGTTTCTCTTGTCCGATTCACGGCGTCTTTCTCCTTTTGGTACGGGCCGCGCGCTCTCTTTCTACCTGTCTGCTCTCCTGATACCTCGCCGCCTGCT